AGGAAAGCCAGACCATCCAATTCTATCTGAATCACTCATCCACTTTTACCTACTTTCCATTTTTTTTCCATAGCACCTAAGACCATCTGAATATTATATTTTATGTATGTATGTATTTTTTTGTATATGAATGGGCATGTGTATGTATGTAGGCAGGTAGGCGCCTAAGTAGGTAATATTCCTCTGGAATGTAAGCTCCATGAAGCAGGAATCTTGTATTCTTCACTACTGTAAAATGACAGCACATGGGACGGTGTCACAAAAACTAGGCTTAACAATTACTTACTGAATACATATGTGAATGAATGAATAACTATTTTAATAATCTTGAAAGTCTGACTCTAGCTTTATTAGTCAGAACATCCCTTGACAGAAATATAAGAATATTTTTCTTGTCTATTTTATGGATACTCATGAAAATAAAATACATTTAATGCCATGAAGTAATATACAATTCGAGGATGGGAAAATGGCATTACTGGACATATATAAATACTGACAATACTTAACTGAGTGAATCACATCTTTGACTGTGATAGGATCAATAATTTTTTATATGTCCCATCTCTTGCCCATCTAGGATATCTCTCTCTTTGCCTTTGTACATGGGTTTCTGTCTGGAACAACTTTTTTGTTCCTTTTATGCTAAATCTTACTCATTTTTAACTTAACTCATGGAACAGAAACCATTTCCAAATTCTTTAGTTGGAGAGCTCTCCAGCTTAAGAAATTTCTCCACATGAATTCTATAAAGTGCACTGTATTCATCTCTCTCCTGGCTTTCAATGCACTCTATTATATGGTTGACTTCCTTCACTAGGCAAGTAATAATTAAACTAAGTTTGCAATTTTATCTTTTTAGCTCTATTGCCTAGGACACAGTAGGGGTCCAACTCATAATTGAATAGATGAATGCATGTGTATAAAGGGCAAGTATTTTTTATATGCATCACCCTATCCACCACATTGACTCCAACCTATTAGCTCCTCCTTTATTCAACATTCTCCCTTTGTTCTTTGCTTTTATTATGGTATGGGGATATCTGAGCATTCTCCTTTTTAGCCTCTGTTTCTTCCAATTCTAGTGCCTTATAAATAGGTTAGTAAAGGAGCAGATGGGGACTATAATCTCAAATGCATTGTTGGGTTTAAAACCTTCATTGCTAGACAAAGCTGGCTATAAACATGCAAACTCTTTCCTACCATCAAATAAAGGAAGTATAACCGATCTCACTGTCCACTTTCATGACCTTGAGCAAGTCAGAATTTATGACATGCAAATCAATCAACTGGGGATACCAACTTTTATCACTTGACCAAACATTTGTACACTGGTTATCTCAAGTCTCTTGAAAGTTAGTCTGAACATGCCCACATTTCTCTGTTCTTCCTACTATCGAGAAAGTGAGCATATGATGATTCTATTAAATTTCTAATTGTGTTAGAAATTTACTTCATCCCATTACTACTACCTTCTCATCCTTTAGATTTTATCAAATTCTAAGTATTTCATGAAATTCCATTTGAGTTTCTGGAGAAAATGTCAACTGTGACAAACTACCAGCTGTATTTTCTTACTGAATAATTGATAACTGGTTTCTTTGCTTAAAGAAAAAGTTTATATTAAACATTCATAAATTTGGGATTTAAGGTATAGAACACATAATTCCAAAAGAACATGCATTTATTTTGTTGATGTATGTTAGACTATTATGAATGTTACTGGCAATATAAAAGGTAGCAAAACAGGTTTAATAATGCAAAACAATACAGAATGTATGAATATCCATTATGTTACTGTGTTTCATTGTTTTATTTTCAGAATCTAACTTAATTTTGTGAGAGTCCATTATTGGCTACAAAATTAAGGGCTTTTTCTTCCCCACTCTCATTTTTCACACTAAGATTGAATAGTTAATATCTATCTATAGATAGATACATTATATGATAAGAGTATGCCTATATTCAAACAAGCAAAGTTTTAGACTATTAGCCTTCTTACTCCTTTCCTTTATTTATTTAGCATGTATTTGTGGAGCTTGTTTTATCTAATCAGACTGTATTAGGTATTTGGGTTTACAATGGAAGCAAAAAATAAATACCCTTCCTATCCTTGTGAATTTACTAAAAAAAATCATAGAAATAATCATGTAAGTATTACACAAATATTACACTTGAATTTTAAGAAAACTCTGGGGATGAGATTTGGTTAGGGTGGTTGAAGGAGATGATTCTTAACTATTCTTATGGAAGCAATTTAATCAGAGGTTTGAAAAATGAGTAGCCTTCGCATAAGAAAGTAGCTGAGAAGATTCCACTTAGAAAGAAGGGATCATAAAAAGACCCTCTGAATGTGAATGCTAATGTGTCTAGAATGGAGAAAATGGGTAAAAGGGTGGTATGACACAAATCAAAACCAAAGCACACGGAAGAAAACACTTCCCTTTGCAAAGCATAATTATGGAGTTAGTTGTAAATTAGTTTAGCCATATTTGGATAATCTACTTTTGTTTCCTTCTGAAATATCCATTATGAGATTTTTGTTGTAGAGTCATTTGGTTGTTGTTCTATCATGATCATCTGGATTCCAGCTTCATTTATGTCACAAACTAGCATCATGAACTAGGATACATCTAAGGAGAGAGTGTTCATCTGAATAATCTCCACATTACCACTTTAGGTGGAGATTTGGTTTATTTTCTGGACAATTTGAGCAATGCTAATGGTGTGTTACAACTTTTTAATGGGTCAGAACTTCTTCTCTTTCATCTGCATGTTGTTTATATGAATGCTCCTGAAAATGCATCCTAGTAGTTATTCTGCAATTTATATCCTATAAAAAAATGTTTTCACAAATGATATCATAGAAAGGCTAAGTCATAAATATTTTAATGGAAAAGACTCACTTAGTCAAACATAACAAACCTTTAAAGTCATATTACTGAAAAAATAACTTTTAAGAGAAAATTATCACATAATAAATGGGTGAATAGGATAGCACAATGGCTAAAATGTGACATGAACAGACTACCAACCTGTTTGGAGAGCCATGTATCTGATGTCATCTCATATTTCTGAAACAAAACAATTAACTCCATGAAACATCTAAAGATCAAAATGAGCATGCATCAATTTATCTTTTTTTACACTGTTATTCTTCAGGCATATTTTTCTCTCCTCAGCTGGTGAAATACCAAGAGGAATCCCATTGTCATTATTGATTTAAACTGAATGAATAGGTAGAGAATTGGGATTAAATAATAATTTAATTAGAAACTCTTTCCTTTGGTGAACTCCTTCAGAATTCCCAGTTGCATGTCACCAGGGATAGATCATTTTCCAGCTCGGTTTGATTACCTCACTCAAACTGCTTTGAACCACTAGACACTGTCTCTTTTCACCTCTAGGCATCATCAGGAAACAATATTATTAAGTCCTTCAAAAGAACTGGGCAAACAGCCAGGAATAAAATTAGAAGGTAGCCATTGTTTCAACATTCAGTACACTCTTCATCATAGACATTTTTTTTCCCTTAGGGAAAACAAACATCTGAAATGACAAAATCTTACGTTCTTTTAAAATATTCCTGCAAAGGATTAGACCAAAATCCTATTTCAAAGGGCAAAATCAGACTAATCTAATCTCAAGTTGAGTATGTGTAGATAAAAAAAAAATTTTTACATGTAGTAACATATAATAACTTGTAGTGTTCTAGAAAAAAATGATTCTATATAAAAGCATTCAAATGCAGAAAACTTAATCAGAATATATTAGAGATATTACCTATATGCAGTGGAACTCATTTCAAATTGTTAATAATTGTTTTTTTTGTTCATAGTTTTTTTTACTTTTCCCTTTTTAAAGACATTTTTAAATTTTAAATTTTAAAGCTTTTTTTCCCTAATAGATGTTTCTTTACTTGCAGGCATCAAGGCAACATCTAACTAAATCATTTTTTAATTTTCTAGTCACTTCAGCAGTAACCATCCTTGATATTTAAAAACACAGATACAAGAACCGTATCAATGCTACAGCACATTAGTATCACTAAGTTTTGTTAGAATCCATCAGAGTCCAAAGTTTCAAATGCAATTATTTATCTTGTTATTTTAATTGTAGCAGAAAGTATAATCTTTTGAACTCGATAAATGGAATAAAAATAAAGTACATATGAAACTGATTCTTGGCTAGTTTGTTGATAAAATTCTCATAGGTGATTCTCGTTTATCCACAATATTTTATCTTTATAAATTGTCTTTTACCTGTGACACTAGGATGTTTATTTGATTTTGAAGGAAACTTTATTTCTCATGAATATTTGTAATTGAAAATTAGATTCTAATTAACTCATTAACCTTGTTGAATTTAAATCATTGTGAATTCACTGATTTTTTAAAATAATTAAATAACTGTGTAAATGGTTATTCACTTGAAGTATAGAGGAAAAATAACTTATTTCCCTCTTTTTAAGAGAAAGTCCATAAAAATATAACAGACTCTATTCCATAATGACACATACAAAAATCTGTTTTATACTATTTTTTTAAAGTTTGCATTGTGTTTCCCTTTGAGGGTGTACCAAAATTCATTCAACTATTCAATTTTTGATGGCCATTTAGATTGCTTCAGGTATTTAAGCCTTTCATAATATCTTGAAAATATTCCTTGTACTAAATAGGTAATATGCATTTGTTGAATGAAAAATCTCTAGATGTTCCCAGTGTTTGGGTACTTTTTGATTATTAAATTCTATATCCCAAAGGTGTCAACTCATAGCACATGTGTGGCTCACTAAGTTTTACTGAGTGCTGAGACATTTTTATAGGAAGTACAGGTTAAGTTTATAGATATGGATACGGATCTTCTTCCTAAAACATCCCTGAGTTTGGATATATGGCTGGATTTCACAGGCATTAGCTTTAGGTTCAAACGCTAAAAGAAATGTACCTTTACAGCTATTATGGCAGTGAAACAAAACCACAGAAAAAGCCAACACTCACCTGGACGAGGAACATAGCTATGTGATAAAACTCTCCACGGCCCCCTTGCTTAACAGGAACTGTCATAAAGAATTTGCTGCCATCTCTGGAAAACACAGGCTCCTCATTCTAAAATACAGAAGTCCATATAAACAGCCTCAAAATGGCATGTAAAATTTGTGCTGCCCACTATGGCTAATTCATGCAAGGATTAGACCAACTACTGATTCAGAATTAGTTTGGAAAATAATCATATTATTTAAAAAATAAATTAATGATAGTATCTCTTTTTTAAAGTAAACTCAGTACTGTGTGTACTCAACATGGAGTGAACTGAACATTGTGTATATACGTAGGTTTGAGTAGTGGGACAGATGGGGAAGTTTCTCACATAAAGGATAGGAAGGCATCACAATAAGATTAACAGAACTTTTTAAGTAAGTTCAAAAAAGAACCTTGGTATCTTCATGTAAGATATGACAGTATTTAGCAATTTATCCTTCAAGGATAAAGAAAATGGGAACATCTATATCAGTTTACCAAAATAGTTTTATTTAAAAAATTTTATAGCATACCATATTAAATACATTTTTCTGAAATCTTTCACTCAGCATCTCTAGTTAGTTGGAGATACATTCCTAATGATGTATGCACACATTTACTGAAAATACAGAATCCAAAGTGTTGCAAAATTGGAAGGAATCCATTGAAAATCATTTAATTCAAGTTTCCCATCCTCATTGCCCACCCTTCCACAAAAACAAACACAAATGCCCATTTGATGATTTTTTAATTAAACTTTGGTGGCATGTTAAATAAATAGAATTATATTTTGAAAATTAAATGATGGAAGCTATGTATATAGATTGCTTTCTTTTGCTCCAGGGGAAAATGGATTTACCCTACAAAACACTGAGTTATTTCCTGTTGGGTTAGTGAAAGTGATAGCACAAATGATTAAATAGAAAGGCTTTGATATGGTTTCCTCTATAGGTCTGTAAAATGGCCTAGAAACACTTTTAGATGTTCTGGTCCTCCATTCTTTCTGACCTTATCTTCTCCTGCTTCCTCATTATGCCTCACTCCTGCTCCCAGGCCTTTGAACTTTTTATTCTCTCAATCTGGCTCTCTCTCTTTCACATCTCTGCTTTATGTCACCTTATCAGTGAGTTACTTTCAGATTACCCCATGAAAAGGGTGAGCAGGAAAGCCAGACCATCCAATTCTATCTGAATCACTCATCCACTTTTACCTACTTTCCATTTTTTTTCCATAGCACCTAAGACCATCTGAATATTATATTTTATGTATGTATGTATTTTTTTGTATATGAATGGGCATGTGTATGTATGTAGGCAGGTAGGCGCCTAAGTAGGTAATATTCCTCTGGAATGTAAGCTCCATGAAGCAGGAATCTTGTATTCTTCACTACTGTAAAATGACAGCACATGGGACGGTGTCACAAAAACTAGGCTTAACAATTACTTACTGAATACATATGTGAATGAATGAATAACTATTTTAATAATCTTGAAAGTCTGACTCTAGCTTTATTAGTCAGAACATCCCTTGACAGAAATATAAGAATATTTTTCTTGTCTATTTTATGGATACTCATGAAAATAAAATACATTTAATGCCATGAAGTAATATACAATTCGAGGATGGGAAAATGGCATTACTGGACATATATAAATACTGACAATACTTAACTGAGTGAATCACATCTTTGACTGTGATAGGATCAATAATTTTTTATATGTCCCATCTCTTGCCCATCTAGGATATCTCTCTCTTTGCCTTTGTACATGGGTTTCTGTCTGGAACAACTTTTTTGTTCCTTTTATGCTAAATCTTACTCATTTTTAACTTAACTCATGGAACAGAAACCATTTCCAAATTCTTTAGTTGGAGAGCTCTCCAGCTTAAGAAATTTCTCCACATGAATTCTATAAAGTGCACTGTATTCATCTCTCTCCTGGCTTTCAATGCACTCTATTATATGGTTGACTTCCTTCACTAGGCAAGTAATAATTAAACTAAGTTTGCAATTTTATCTTTTTAGCTCTATTGCCTAGGACACAGTAGGGGTCCAACTCATAATTGAATAGATGAATGCATGTGTATAAAGGGCAAGTATTTTTTATATGCATCACCCTATCCACCACATTGACTCCAACCTATTAGCTCCTCCTTTATTCAACATTCTCCCTTTGTTCTTTGCTTTTATTATGGTATGGGGATATCTGAGCATTCTCCTTTTTAGCCTCTGTTTCTTCCAATTCTAGTGCCTTATAAATAGGTTAGTAAAGGAGCAGATGGGGACTATAATCTCAAATGCATTGTTGGGTTTAAAACCTTCATTGCTAGACAAAGCTGGCTATAAACATGCAAACTCTTTCCTACCATCAAATAAAGGAAGTATAACCGATCTCACTGTCCACTTTCATGACCTTGAGCAAGTCAGAATTTATGACATGCAAATCAATCAACTGGGGATACCAACTTTTATCACTTGACCAAACATTTGTACACTGGTTATCTCAAGTCTCTTGAAAGTTAGTCTGAACATGCCCACATTTCTCTGTTCTTCCTACTATCGAGAAAGTGAGCATATGATGATTCTATTAAATTTCTAATTGTGTTAGAAATTTACTTCATCCCATTACTACTACCTTCTCATCCTTTAGATTTTATCAAATTCTAAGTATTTCATGAAATTCCATTTGAGTTTCTGGAGAAAATGTCAACTGTGACAAACTACCAGCTGTATTTTCTTACTGAATAATTGATAACTGGTTTCTTTGCTTAAAGAAAAAGTTTATATTAAACATTCATAAATTTGGGATTTAAGGTATAGAACACATAATTCCAAAAGAACATGCATTTATTTTGTTGATGTATGTTAGACTATTATGAATGTTACTGGCAATATAAAAGGTAGCAAAACAGGTTTAATAATGCAAAACAATACAGAATGTATGAATATCCATTATGTTACTGTGTTTCATTGTTTTATTTTCAGAATCTAACTTAATTTTGTGAGAGTCCATTATTGGCTACAAAATTAAGGGCTTTTTCTTCCCCACTCTCATTTTTCACACTAAGATTGAATAGTTAATATCTATCTATAGATAGATACATTATATGATAAGAGTATGCCTATATTCAAACAAGCAAAGTTTTAGACTATTAGCCTTCTTACTCCTTTCCTTTATTTATTTAGCATGTATTTGTGGAGCTTGTTTTATCTAATCAGACTGTATTAGGTATTTGGGTTTACAATGGAAGCAAAAAATAAATACCCTTCCTATCCTTGTGAATTTACTAAAAAAAATCATAGAAATAATCATGTAAGTATTACACAAATATTACACTTGAATTTTAAGAAAACTCTGGGGATGAGATTTGGTTAGGGTGGTTGAAGGAGATGATTCTTAACTATTCTTATGGAAGCAATTTAATCAGAGGTTTGAAAAATGAGTAGCCTTCGCATAAGAAAGTAGCTGAGAAGATTCCACTTAGAAAGAAGGGATCATAAAAAGACCCTCTGAATGTGAATGCTAATGTGTCTAGAATGGAGAAAATGGGTAAAAGGGTGGTATGACACAAATCAAAACCAAAGCACACGGAAGAAAACACTTCCCTTTGCAAAGCATAATTATGGAGTTAGTTGTAAATTAGTTTAGCCATATTTGGATAATCTACTTTTGTTTCCTTCTGAAATATCCATTATGAGATTTTTGTTGTAGAGTCATTTGGTTGTTGTTCTATCATGATCATCTGGATTCCAGCTTCATTTATGTCACAAACTAGCATCATGAACTAGGATACATCTAAGGAGAGAGTGTTCATCTGAATAATCTCCACATTACCACTTTAGGTGGAGATTTGGTTTATTTTCTGGACAATTTGAGCAATGCTAATGGTGTGTTACAACTTTTTAATGGGTCAGAACTTCTTCTCTTTCATCTGCATGTTGTTTATATGAATGCTCCTGAAAATGCATCCTAGTAGTTATTCTGCAATTTATATCCTATAAAAAAATGTTTTCACAAATGATATCATAGAAAGGCTAAGTCATAAATATTTTAATGGAAAAGACTCACTTAGTCAAACATAACAAACCTTTAAAGTCATATTACTGAAAAAATAACTTTTAAGAGAAAATTATCACATAATAAATGGGTGAATAGGATAGCACAATGGCTAAAATGTGACATGAACAGACTACCAACCTGTTTGGAGAGCCATGTATCTGATGTCATCTCATATTTCTGAAACAAAACAATTAACTCCATGAAACATCTAAAGATCAAAATGAGCATGCATCAATTTATCTTTTTTTACACTGTTATTCTTCAGGCATATTTTTCTCTCCTCAGCTGGTGAAATACCAAGAGGAATCCCATTGTCATTATTGATTTAAACTGAATGAATAGGTAGAGAATTGGGATTAAATAATAATTTAATTAGAAACTCTTTCCTTTGGTGAACTCCTTCAGAATTCCCAGTTGCATGTCACCAGGGATAGATCATTTTCCAGCTCGGTTTGATTACCTCACTCAAACTGCTTTGAACCACTAGACACTGTCTCTTTTCACCTCTAGGCATCATCAGGAAACAATATTATTAAGTCCTTCAAAAGAACTGGGCAAACAGCCAGGAATAAAATTAGAAGGTAGCCATTGTTTCAACATTCAGTACACTCTTCATCATAGACATTTTTTTTCCCTTAGGGAAAACAAACATCTGAAATGACAAAATCTTACGTTCTTTTAAAATATTCCTGCAAAGGATTAGACCAAAATCCTATTTCAAAGGGCAAAATCAGACTAATCTAATCTCAAATTGAGTATGTGTAGATAAAAAAAAAATTTTTACATGTAGTAACATATAATAACTTGTAGTGTTCTAGAAAAAAATGATTCTATATAAAAGCATTCAAATGCAGAAAACTTAATCAGAATATATTAGAGATATTACCTATATGCAGTGGAACTCATTTCAAATTGTTAATAATTGTTTTTTTTGTTCATAGTTTTTTTTACTTTTCCCTTTTTAAAGACATTTTTAAATTTTAAATTTTAAAGCTTTTTTTCCCTAATAGATGTTTCTTTACTTGCAGGCATCAAGGCAACATCTAACTAAATCATTTTTTAATTTTCTAGTCACTTCAGCAGTAACCATCCTTGATATTTAAAAACACAGATACAAGAACCGTATCAATGCTACAGCACATTAGTATCACTAAGTTTTGTTAGAATCCATCAGAGTCCAAAGTTTCAAATGCAATTATTTATCTTATTATTTTAATTGTAGCAGAAAGTATAATCTTTTGAACTCGATAAATGGAATAAAAATAAAGTAGAATATCAATAAGGTGTCAAATTAATAATATGATTGGCTTGGTGTAATCTATTTTCTATCAAAACACTTTAATATATCCTTGCAGCTACCTATAAAGATTTTCCTTATATAGAGAAGATACAGGCTTTCTCTAATGAGAACATACATATGCCAATTTTTGAATGACTTGGTTAATCAGCTGAATAAGAAACCATACAGAAACTTCTAACAAGTAAATGGTGAAATCTTAGTCTCTCTATAAACTAGCCAGATGAAAAAGGATGATTAAAGTAAACTTTCTAATAAATACAAGCTAAATGTCAAGAGCAGCAGTCAAACCCTATGTGTAAATGGCTGACATTACCTCATTTTTCATTTCCACAGCTAGGTTCATTATTCCAATCAAAGAGAAATTTCTTCTTTATTTTTCTTTTATGGGTCATTTAAAACTTATGTTTAAAAATGAAGTATCATTTGTATATAGTGAAATGTACAGATCTTAAGCATATATGATGAGTTTGACAAAATTTATTTACATCCTATCAAGATAAAAGACCTTTGCATTTCTTCACAATTCCTTCCTGCCCTTTTACAGAGGCTCCAAAGAGGAACCACTTTTCTGAACTCTTTCCCCATCGATTAGTTTTGCCTATTTTAGAAATTCAGATAATTGAAGTAATGTATTATACATTCTTTGGTGTGGGGCTTGTTTTACACCACATGTTATTGAGATTCATTCAGATTGTCGAGTGTATCAGCATTCTTGTTAAGCTGCTGAATGGAATTTCATTGTATAGAAATGCTTCATTTTGTTTATCCATTACTTGTTAAGGGACAATTGGAGAGTTTCCTGTTTTTAATAAAGCAAATAAAGCTTCTCTAAGTTTTTGTATTACAAATCCTCTGGTCAGTCCAGATTTTATTATGCAAATATCCAGAAATAATACGTATACACACACATATATATTTACATAGGTAATATATTTACATGCATGTTTAACTTCCTTTCAAACTGTAAAATCATTTTTTAAAGTGGTTGTATAATCATTTTATACGTTTCCACACAAAGAATGAGAACTACAAGTGTCCATATCCTCACGAGTTACTGTTGTCACCTTTCTGTTGTTTCTAATGGATGTAGTGTTACCTCACTATGACTTGATCTATAAATTCCTAATATCTAATGATATTGAGTACTTTTTCATGCCATTATTACTTCCTTACTCATATCTGTTCACATGGAATGACCTTTTTACTGAATTGTTTTTTTATTATTGAGATGTACATATTTCTTTGTCAGATACTCATTGAGAAAAATATTTTCTCCCAATCTGTGGTTAGCTGTTCAAATTTGTAACAGTGGATGATAAGTTTCAAATTTTGTTGATGTCTGATATATGATTTGTTTCCTTCATGATTAATGATTGTTTGCCCATTCAGTACAGCAAAGTTGTATCCTAAATTTTCACCTAAAAGATAGATCATATTAGCTCTTAGATTTAGAGCTACAGTTTATCTCAAATTAATTTTAGAATATGGTAGGAGACAGATGTCAAACATCATTGCATTTTTCACTTGGTTGTTGATTGTTCTGGCACCATTTTCTCCCATCAGATTGTTTTGGCACCTCTGTTGAAAGTCAGTCAGTGATATAAATACGGATCCATTTCTGGAAACTCTATTCTGTTCAACAGCTCATTCTGACCTTATGCCTCCACCCCAATCTCAGTTTCTGTGGCTTTCTAGGAAATCAGGTAGCACAACTCCTCCAACATTTTTTTTTATGAGTGTTTTGGCTTTTCAGGTCTTTTGCATTTCCATATACATTTCAGAACCAGCTTGTCCTTTTCTACAAGTCTGCTGCAATTTTAACTGGTATTGTATTGAAACTATAGTTTAATATAAAATTGACATCTACAATATTAAGCCTTTCAATTCAAGAATGTGATACACCCTTTATTTATTTAGGTCTCCTTTAATGCCTCTCAGAAATGTAGTTTTCAATATTGGGATTTTGCACATTACTTGTTAAATTTATCTTTACATATTTAATGTTTTAAAGATTTTAATGACATTTTCATTTCTTTTCCATATTTTGAGTATATAGAAATATATTTTGTTGCTTTTTAATTCTTTATTTTGAAACCAGTGTAAATTTACAGAAGTTAAAAGAACAGTTTGAGAAATATCTGCATATTCCTTAGACATTTTCTTCATTTATATTTATTTTGCTCCATGTGCTTTATTATTATATTTATCTCTACTGTGTATAAACATTTGAGGGGAAGATGGAAGCATATTTCTTCAAAATCAATTAAAATTTAGTAATACATGTTTTTCTAAATAATTCAACCGAATTATTGGGGCATTGTGTCCATTTACCCCCAAATAATTAGGTGAGCACTTATGAAAATTACAGTATCCTGTATATCCTGTACATGTTTTTTATGGTAAAATGATCAAAATCAGGAAATTAAACGAACAATTAAAGTTAGTACACCGACCTGTAAATTGTGACCTATCCTAATATTTTTTTGTAGATTTCTGACTTTTTATTTATACAATAATGCCATTTACAAATAAAGATAGGTTTACTTGTTCTTTACTAATCATCACAATATTTATTCCTTGCCACGTTACAACTCTAATAGAGTTACAATGTCTATCCTTACGTTGCTGGTGATCTTAAGGCAAATAAGTAAAGTGTTTCACGACTGAGTATGATACTTATTGGGGTATTTTGTGGGTATCTTTAATCAGAATTTCTATTCACCTATGTTGAAAGTTTTCCTGAATGAGAATTGAGCTTTGTCAATTGGTTTTTCTTCATCTACTGAGGAAACTGTTTACTTTTCCTCTTTTTTTTCTGTTGAAATAATGAATTACATTGATTTTTAGTATTAAATCAATCATACATTCCTGGGATAAACCCTACTTAGTCATGATGCACTGTTCTCTGTATTGCTGGGAATGACACGGCAATATGTCTAAGGATATTTTTGCATATATGTTCAATGGAGGTGTCAGTCTAAAATGTTCTCTTTTGTAATGTCTTTGTCTAGTTTTGGTAGAGGGGTAAGCTATCCTTGTAAAACAAATTGAGAAGTTCACTTCCTTCTCCAATTTCTGGAGACTTTAGGAATGGTAGAAATTCTTTTTTTCCAAGTTTTACTTAAATATAACTGACATGTACCATTGTATAAGATTAAGATGTACAACATAATGACTTGTATATGTATATATTGTGAAATGATTAAAAGTTTAATTAACTTCCATCATTTTACAAAGTTATACATTTTTTCCTTGTGATAAGAACTTTCAAGATTTATTCCCTTAGCAACTTTCCAATATGCATTATAGTATTGCTAACGATAGTCATAATGTTGTACATAGCATCTCCAGAACTTATTTATTTTATCACTGAATGTTTGTACCTTTTAACCAATTCCTACCCTAAACCCCCAAATCTGACATACACAAATCTAAGGTCTGTTTCTGTATATCTGTATTTTTGTTAGATTCCACATGTAAGTGAGATAATACATTATTTGCCTTTCTCTGTCTATTTCACTTAGCATAAATGCCTTCAAGGTCCATACATTTATGTTGTTGCAAATAGCAGTATTTTATTTTTCTTCTAAATGGCTGAATAGTATTCCATTTTACATGTACCATATTTTGTTTAATCATCCAATGATAGACACTTAGGTTTTTTCTATGTCTTGGCTATTGTAAATAATGCCTCACTGAACATGGGGTGCAAATATTTCTTTGAAATAGTGATTCTGCCTCCTTTGGATATGTATACAGATATTTAATTGCTGGATCATATGATAGTTCTATTTTTGATACTTTTGAGGATCTGCTACACTGTTTCCATAGTGGCTGTACCAGTTGATACACCCACAACAGTGTACAAGAAAGGTTCATTATTTGCCACTTCCTTGTCAGCTTTATTATCTTTTGTCTTTTTGACAATTGCCATTCTAACAGGTGTGAAGTAATATCTCATTGTGGTTTACATTTGCATTTCCCTGATGATTAGTGATTTGAGCACATTTTCATATACCTGCTGCCTGTCTGAATATCATCTTCAGAAAAAATGTCTATTAACCATTTTTTAATTAGAATTTTTGTTTTTGGGTTTTTTTTGCTATTGAGTTGTATAAGTTTGTTATATATTTAGGATATTAGGACCTTACCAGATATCTAATTTGCAAATATTTCCTCCCATTCAGCTTTCCATTTTGTTGACTGTTTTTTTGCTGTGCAGAAGCTTTTTAGTTTGACATTTGTTAAAGTTATCAATTACCTTTTAGAAAAACTTAAAGTTAGACAGTACTTTATTTTACTCATATATTTATCATTTGTGTCACCTTTCCGCTCTTCCTTTAGATCTGAGTTTTCATCTGATGTCATTTCTTTCAGCCTTAATAACTTCATTTCATGCTACTTGTGCCAATCTACTTGAGATGAAATATCTCAGCTTTTATTTATCTGAAAATGTCATTGTCTTCATTTTTAAAAGTTTTTTTCATAAGATGTAGGCCTCTAATTTTGGCATTGTTTTGCTTTCAGTCCTTTCAAAGTGCCCTTCCATTGCCCTCTGGTTTACACTGTTACAGGCAGTAATTCCCATCAATACATTTGCCTGTATATAATGTTTTTCTCTCATGCTACTTTAAAATGTTTTCACTATCTTTGGTCCTTAGTAATTTGAGTGTAAGTACCTCGATACTTTTCTTTGTTCTTATTCTGTTTGGCATTGGTTAATTTCTTAGATATATGGCTAACTGGTTTTTGAAAAAACAAATTTGGGGTATTTTAAGTCATTATTTTTTAATTTTTTCCTGCCCCAGCATCTTAAATCTTGCCTTCTGTATGTATAACTTCACATATGTACCATCTTAAATTGTTCTATAATTGATTTTGTATTTGTTCACCTATTTTCAGTCTTTTTTCCCTCAGGACTTTATTTTGGATTGTTTATATTTCCATAACTACAACAGTATCCAATTGTTGTTAGCTCATTCAGGCAATTTTTTATTTCACTCACTGTATTTTTCAGTTCCTGAAGTTTCACTGTTCTGTTTACACAGTTTATATTTCTTTACTTAAATTTCTCATTTGTTTATTAATCAGAACCATCCTTTTCTTTGTTAGATATCTTCTAATTGCTTTAAAAATATTCTGTTAATTTCAATATATTTGTCCTCTATATGTCTGCTCCTTTGACTATTTTTGGAGGAAGGCAGGTGGATTATATTTCTATTTCTCCTCATTTATAGTATGTTTTGATTGTGTGATTGATATTGTAAATTTTAATTTCCCTTTTCAAAGAGTAAACTTTGTTCTGGCTGAAAGCTAGTTTACAAGGGAGAGGAACTTGATCCCTTCTAAGGCTTATTTAAAAGTTTGTTGGAAGGAGTCTAGAACAGCCCTATTTTTAATGCGTTTTCTTTCTGGGATCTGAGTCAAATACATAGAATTTTCAGTGAGAGCTCTCTTTTTTGCTGTTCAGAGCTCCAAAGTCTCCAAGCATTGTGCAACCTGAAGATTCTCTATTTGCTTTTCCCTCTTTGTCTCTCTCTCTGAGTTATGTCCTATCCTTGAAAAGCTAAGCATTGAGCTAAAGACCTTAGAGCATCTTTATATAGATTGCTGTTTTTCTTCTCTCTATGCTCCATATCCTGCAGTACTTGTCTTGCAAATTTCATCCACCACAATTGCCTCAAACTGACTCTCCTTGCGTTCTTGCATCAGTGATAACACTGTTTTTCTTGGGCTCTATTTCCTTGTACTGTGATCTCAAAAGTGTTGCTAATAGGAAGTCATAACTAGGTTTACCTTGTGCATTAACTTTATTTTACCATTTTGTCCTGCTCCTGCTGTCCAACCTTTGAAGATAGTTGTTTAAGATGTTCTGTACATTTTTACAGTTGCTACAGCAGAGTTGTTAGTAAGGTAACATTTATTCCATCTTATTCCAAACTGAAGTTTGAAAATTCTGTTTTTAAGTAATTAGGAATTCTTTACCAATTACCACATATATAATACAACAATTTAAACTGACTACAGTATTTTCTCTACCAAGAACCTTAAAAATGAATTTATTGCAGAGTTTACATGACTGATTATAGAAATCAAAATGCAATCTGCTTTCAAAACACAGTAGTTCAAGAACCATTTTTTTACTGTTTTTACTAAATATAAGAACAGAGACACTGCTTATAATTTTAGAAGACTGAACTACAGAGAAAAATGGAATTTTTGTAATTATTTAAATAAACAGGAAAGAAACATTACATATTTTCAAGTTTATCAAAGTCAAAATATGGAGGAAAAAAATCCATATTTGAGAATGAAACTAATATGCCTTGGCCTATCCTTTATATTCCATAAGAATTCACATTTTAAAAGCTTAGTTTACTCTCATCTGCTGATCATCATCTATATTTCTCACTTCACACTTTGACAGTTTCATTCACTGAGTATTATTGCACATATTGAAGTTTTTGCACAAAGAATTGCCTGATTTCCTTTTGTGAGGTGTTCTAACTACTTCATAAGCATAAAAGAAAAGTAAATTGTACTCACTCTACTGCAAGCACCAGTAGTGGTCTCACAGACTGTGAGGATGGAGATGTTCTGAGGTCGGTTTAGCCATCTGACCACTGTCTTGGTATTGCTTACCCATTTAACCATAGTGATATAGTATTCTCTAGTTTGGAAACAAAATTAAAATCCACATTTAGAGCCAGAGAACATTTATAGAACCATTTGTTATTTTACCTGCATGAATAAATGAAATACTATAGGATGTCACATCATATAATTTCCATTAATGTATACATACACATCTGTTTTTTCAAATATTCACATATATAAGTACATATATATGTGTATACATGTATACATATTAACACATACACATATATATACATATAAAAATATACAGAAAATTTAGAATAAATTAGAAAGTGAATGAATTCCCAGAGAGGAAACCCTTGGAAAAATAAAAATAATCAAGATGTTAGACATTTATAAAAAATTTCTAAGTCTTTATTGGTTAGAATTATAACATAGGTGCAATAAATGTAACTTTTCTAAGCTATAGTTTATTTCTTTAAAAATATAGTAAATTAATTACAAGGCAAAGCTTACTTTTGACTTAATAATTATTTTGAATGCATGAACTACATGTTATTCCACCTGTTCCGTGGGGACTTGGATGACAGAGGCATGAATGGTTTGTTCTGGCCTTTGTCACCTATGGTCCAGGGGTCAGTCCCAGTCTTATTCATATATACTTTACAATATTTTTATCTTACTTAATTTGAAACAGTTTAAAATGAAGAAGGAATCAAAATGGAGGATATGAGGAACTATTGAATTTTTGGTATAGTAAGGATGCTAACTAACAGGGCCTATCATGACTTCTGGCTGGTCAGACATACAAAAAGTTTATATTTTTTCCTTCATACTTCTTTTATTAGTGACTCTGTTTGGAAATTTACACAAATATCATAAAACTCTAAACCCCACAGGACAAAATGCAACCATCAACATTGATTCAATTTATATTTGAGAGAAGAAAACCAATGACTTTCCAACATATTTGCCCAGTTTCAGAATAGATGAGATGCTTTCAAAACGGCTTGAGAAGTACTGTCCATGAATATTGTCTTATAATTAATCCACCTAGTTTTTGCATGACTTAGAAAAATACACATATGGGAGAAAAACCGTCTGATACAAATCATTTGTCCTTAGACACATCTGGAGTAGACATTCAGCTATATGAATCCTATGTTTCTAACATCACAGAATAACTACTCCTTCCTCTAGAAGACCCGTTAGACTATCAGAGTAAAGACGTCAGTACAAGGGCCAGCAAAACTTGTCATACACATGTGAAGTCTGTCACATTCTCTTCCACAGTCTCTTCAAGACATTTGGCAGCTTTCACAAACAGCTGAGTCCCACTTGAAAACTGCCAAGAAACTCAATTGTAGTCATAACATGAAATTCCCTACATAGAGTTAGCAAGGTAACTTTGAATCAAACATGCAACTGGTTTAGGAATTATCACTGGCCAAATCAATGAACCTTGCAATTCTTCACACAAGGATGAAGAATTTTCACTGTGTGTTGTTTAAACCAATTTATTATGGATGTATTACGTATCTGGCAATGTGAATATTAGAAAGGGGAAATACAGATATTAACCCTTAATAGATTTATCTAGAGGATTTGGCATGGAGGAAAATGTAGTGGATATGATAATCAATCAGGAAAAGAAATGCTGACCTCTGACAATATATATATTTCTGATTAATCAGTATAAGCATTATTTGAAATTAAAGTAAAAAAAGATTTGGTTACTGTAAACAACTGACCAAAGACTGCACGATGAAAGAGGTCATATTTGTGGAAAAATTAGTAGAACTGGTATATAGAAGATTTTCAAGACCAATCAAGAGATTTGTCCTAATTAGCTAAAGTAATATTATACTTTGTGCCAAGTGAGATGAAAAATGAACATAAATGATTTTAAAATAAATGACAACAGCAACAATAAAAAACAGAATTAAAATATTCATCTAAGGTGGATGTTTTCCCTTTCCAAGTAGCACTCAATGAAATTTTGCAAGACCAACTTCATTGCAATGAATTGTCTTCACAGACGTTGAAGCATTATATTTATTACCTATGATAGAATACATGACTTTTAAAAAGGATTTCATATTTGCAAAACAAAATCCAACCATTGAAGATATGGTGAATAAATGATTTTTTAAAAGGGAACACTAACTTAGGTATAAAATTAGGTAAAAATTATTAATTATAGTCATTCCACTGATAGTTCTTTGATTAAATAATGTGATTACTTCGTGTGTTTATACACAATGTATCTTATGTTCATAAGAAAAGTTAATCTTATGTGAGATATCTTAATATATATCTTATTTACAATCTGAAAAATGAAAGTTCTTCCCAAAACTGATATTGTACAGTCTTTCAAGGGTAATCTCAAACCATTGAAGTTTCCATGATAAAGTGTTGAAAATATCCAAAATGAAAGTTAAAGTAGAATTTGATCCACAAAAAGAGAGGAAAGATATATTCACTAACTCTATCACATCCTGTATTCTTTCTTTCCTGGTCCCAAGATACAAGGTATACATCTCTTTGTAATTCATACCTACTTATTCAGTTTTCTCTTGAATATTCAGCTTCCTCTGAGTGAGGGAGTAGGGAACTGCCCTCACCTGGATGTGTGACACTCCTCAGCCTGCCTGTGGAAGATGTGGCTGTCCTCCTGGAACTCCACCTCATGCACACATTAGATCTGGTGAGTGTCCCTTCTTTATACCTGGCTTCCCTGTTGGTTCCTGTCTCCATGGCTCTGGATTACCTAGGATGTCCTGGAGGATCTGGGCTTCTTGAGCCACAGCGACAGAGACAAGCAGGTTAGAGGGACTGCACTCAAGCCAGGAAAGACTTTCTATCAGCTGGGTGGTCTCACACAAGAGATCTAATCGTTCATAAGGGTATGTGGAATGGAGGTCCCAGGATCACTAGCAGACAGGTATGTTAGAAATCAAACCTCTGTTTTCCCTGGCTTCCTGTCCAATCACTATTTTGTGTTTACAACAAAATCTTTGTGCATATATAGTTACACTGAGCTCATTCTTGCCCAGATAATCCGGGATCTCTGCCCATAAGTGTACTGTGATAGCATCCATGACCAACACTTATTGAGTGTCCTCCAAAGACCTCTTTTAATAACAAAGCACTACTTGTAAGAAGGGTCATTTAGGACACTTCCATAAACACAGATTATTAAATAGTTTTTCATGGAAGGCAAAGATATATTCCTTAGCAGAATGAGAGATGTAGACTAGACATACTTTAATGAAATAGTAAGAGAAAGCATGGCAGTTTCAAGCCCAGAGTGGCAATATGGCAGTGTCACATCAATGATTCTAACAATGGGACACAAGCATGGATGACTAAGGATGCATTTAAAATAATGTCAAAGGCATACAGTAAGGAGAGACCAAAGACAACCCACTACCTTTAATCTTCAGCCTAGAGATGTCTGAACACAAAGGATAACACTTCTCCAAAACAATGTGACAAATGCCTAGCCTGTGGAAAAATCTGCATAATTCACTATCATGGAAAGTCTTTCCTCTACAACTTAGCAAAATTTGTACCTATAAATTCCAATAAAGACTGAATGTTTGCAATACCTCAACACCACAGTGTAACAATTTAGAAAATATTTCTTCCCTTAAGATGAGATGAGTCATCTGACACCCAGATGGGTCTGGGGATATTCAAGAAGGGTCATCATCTTAATTCATACTATGCTACATTCTGAAAAATTAACACAGATCATAATGTAAATAAAGATAAGTATACATGTTGAATTACTAATGAAGAAAAGTTGCATTCCTGATCTGAATTTGTGTGATGCAGGATCTGTAGCTGAATCACAAATATATTTTTTTAAAAATGAAAATGGTGTGGGGGAAGTAAATAGAAAAGAAATTATTGCCTTTCTTCAAATTATTGTGGCATTTTAATTTATTTTTAAAACCACATAAAATAATTGAAATTTATTTTACTTTCTTTGAATAGAGTATAAGTACCTGGCTGAAGGGAAGTTTTACCAAATGATGCTACTAGCTTGGGGACCTATTTCTATAATAAGTATATATAGTAGTAGTTATAAATGAATCAATCAACAAACCAAATAAACAATCAACAGACCAAAACTAATAACCTACCTAACACCTTCAAATTCAAAACAAACCTTGTTCTTTGAGGTAGGAGTCAGGGAATACAGTTTATAGGGTAACTCAGGTCTTATGAGAACATCTTCCTATATTTATCTCTTAAAGTCTTCCTCCCTATATAGGTATGCGCATATATATTCAATTATTATTACTGTTACCATGGTGATCTTATTAGAGAGAAGGCAAAAGATTGTCATATATTGAGTTCAGGTTTAGTGGAAAAAAAAGAACAACCAAAAGGAAAGAAGATACTATCTAACTGCACTGAGGAATAAAATATGGTTCACTTACTGATTGCCATTGCACAGATCATCTGAAGATAATACAAAAATATAGCACATGCATAGAGAACATACTAAAAAAAGAGTAAACAAGTAAACCATTACAGACTAAATTAACTATTTGGGTATTCTACTATTGAGAGTTTAAGTAATCTCTCAAATAATACAGATGCTATGATCTGAACACAATATAAATTATAAAAACAGGACAGGGTATTTGAATGCCTTAATAAGGCTTGTGAAAAGTATGACACTAATAAATTAATTTATGTATTCTTATACATTTAAAAAATAAAAAAAATGATTTGGTATTGCTTGCAATTTATAGGAATACTGCCACTAATAAACATAGGAATATTGCTACTAATACTAGTACCAAAAAATTAATTTATATATATATAACATTTTCAAAAGATAAAAAGAATTTGAATTAGCTTAGAAAGATTTAAGAGTAACATGGTAAAGAAAATTAGGAAGGCAGATAAAGGAAAATAAGATATTGTGGAAACCAAGTGTTACTGTGATGCAACTCCATGTCCAAAATATAGTAATGCCAGGAATTAAAACACAGTAAGTTACATGATTCACAATGCACATGAGAAAAAATGTGGCAGGTTTTCAGAAGCACAGATATTACCTAGAGAAACCATAGATGTGTGTGCGTGTATGCGTAGAGAGACTGGAACACACACAGAAATAATGACAGAGAGACAAAGACAGAAACAGAACCAGAATTAGAGACAGAATACTTCTCACATGGCTTCAGAGAAATCTTTGTGTGTTTGTGTGGACATCTCCAATACATCTGTAGAGCAGTAACAATGATATATTTTTTACAGCAAATATTATTCTTAAATTATTTGTGTTGTATATTCTCCATTTGCCAGTTCCATTCTCTAAGCTGCCCCCTCTCCTCACCCTCCACACCACCACGTCCCAAGGCTGGCCTCCACAGAGAGGCTGCCCTCTCAGTGGGAGGCTGGGAGGAAGAGAGTTGAGGGTATTAATTCCCAGGATCCCCTCCCTCCCTCCTACTCCCTCCTGTGGCACGGCTGGCAATGACTGAGTGGCTCACTCTGTGGACAGGTCCAGGTGGCCCACCCTGTTCATCAGCCACAGCCTCTTCAGATTTCACAAGTAAGCTTGCACCTTGCTCCTCTAGTCCAGGGGCAGTAATAGCTTTCTGCTGTTGTAAACTCTGTGCTGCTTTCCCATCTTTTGTAAGCTTCCCCTTAATCCTACCCATACCTTTGTTAATAACCCCTTAATTAAATGCATTTCAATTACTCCTCTTGAGTGTGTCATCTTTTTTATTTCCAGTGCCTTAACACTAAATTATGAAATATATATATATATATATATATATATTCTTTTAAGTCTCAAGTATATGTCTAAGGAGGGCACAATACTTTTCTGCAAATTTCCATATACCTGAAGTACTAAATATTAAATATTAGAGATACTGATAATACTAAAAATAAGAGAATAATCCTAAAAATAAGAAAAATAAGAGTTTAGTTTCCATCTTTTATACAGCTGGATGAATGCATCTTTCTTTAATTCACACCATGGAAATCAAAATTTAATTCATATGTGTGTTTTTGGGAGCATGTAAATTGCACCTGTTCTCAGAGTGACTAAATGAAGATGACATAAAATTCATTCATTTTCCTTCTTTTCTGTGAACTGTATTAAAGCTTTCACTAGGAACAAATGAGTAAAGAAACATATTTCTATAAAACTGAAGCATTGGGAATATTTTAGAATACCAGTTTTAAAGTAAACTTTGATTTAATTTTTCCAACAAAGGGAGTAAATCATACACTTTGGTGCATTTCACACGCCACTGCTGGCACTATGAAAGACCATGGAGAAGAAGAAGCAGAATTGTTATGTACATTGTGTAGATAAGGTTTATGTGACTCTCCCCAAACTACAAACGAAGTTCATGGCTAAACCAACACCTGAACTTGAATTACATTGAGGGGTTTTTACAGGCTTCTTCCTCACTCTTAATGGAACCCAGTATATTATTCCATGTCCTGGACTTACAACATCCAAAGATATGTGATCTCTTTTTTTGCAATGGGTGACTAAGTTTATCATGTTTTACCTCAGATGTTAAAGAGACATAAGCTTAACTAATGTTACAATAAATGACAATTAATTTTTCAAAGATTAAAAAAAACCTGATGAAGTTAGAATCATTATTTCAGGATTAAGGTACTCAGATCTGTAGAGGTGGAATGACTTGTCCAAGGTCACACCACAAAATGGTAGTAGAGATGTGACTCACATACTCCTGTCTACTGCCCTTTCCTGTTATAATTCAGAGTATCAAACAAATCAGAAAACAAGATAAGAGTTAAAGACCTCATCAAATATTAATAGTTTCTTAATAGCTTCATTTATGATTAACACTTTCACGGCTGGAAGGCTGAGTTCAACTAGAAGTTTCTGCCTGACTTGGTCAATCCTGTGGTATTCTAAGTGTCAGTGCATATGGCCCTCTGAAGTATTTCCACCGGGATTTGGTACTCTGTAACCTGAAATAGGGTTGGCTCATTTTCTACCTCTGCTATCAACTTATCTTGAGGTTCTATATATTTTCTCTTTGGGACTTATATTTTCCATCAATAATGGGAGCAGTTTATATAAAGTAGTTAATGAAGGCCCTTCCAGTGTTAGCATTACATATATTTTTAATAACTTTTCAAATAGGAAAAATTTCCTCACACTGCAGGTTATACTACCTGTGAAAATCCTCAACTATGATGAAATTTTCCCAAATATGTCAACGAAACAACATTTGAGTAGAATTTTTATTTGAATCAGTCACCGTGCTTTGATTGTTGATGTCCTCCAAGCCAACTGAACTTAGTCTCATATTATTTAGGGCAGCCTAAAATAATTTTCCTAAATCAGCTGCCTATTCCATCTCCAGGACTGTCACAAATTTTCAAAAGGTTACGATATTTGAAAGAATCACTCTGTGTTGCTTCGGGCTTGAGACCACTCTGGATTGCAAAATCCACGTGATTATTTGATTAGTTGTTTACCACTGGAGAGTTTGCTAATACTAAAATTATATTTCTCACACATAAAATGTGTTTCTTTTCACCTGGTTCAAACTTCTTAAATAAGAAGGCTTCTTATTTAGCCTAATTTAAAACAAAATATGATTACATTTCCCTGGCTGGGGAAGAAAGCTAGGGAATCACTGGCAAGTTATGGGAGAATGTTGGAAAAACTGCACAGATTTTAGGGAGGTTATACTCTTTTAAAGAGGACCATTTTGAAAAACAGTGACTATTTTCAGAAAGAACATTCAATGAAAATTATCCTTTGCCCCCCTTTCTCTGTCTCATCTCCCGCAAAAAGTCTAATTCTGTTATCAGTATATTTAGTCATTTTGTGGTGCTGCTAATCACCTTAAATTAGAAATTTTTCTGGAAACAAGAGACTCTGAATGCGTTCATTTTTGCACTCATGCAGGCAACCTTAGCTTCATTTTCAAATGGATTTGTTGAGCTGATCACATCTCTCTCTAAATTGTAACAAAATGATAATTGGAATTAAAATAACATTTCCCAGTAAAAGTGAAATCGAAATTGCCTACCTCACTTTAAAGCTGTCAGGTGGCATTAGTTCCAAAGTATGAGTTGGTCCATATAGGTTTACAACGTATAATTTGATTGTAGGGTTCACTTGACCTGCCTTTGAGAAAGGAAAGTTGTAATGCAAATACATTTAGCATTAAAATATATTGAGAAAAAAAGAAAGTGCATTCTGACTCTTTTACAATGTTGTGTTAGAACCGGGGAAAAAGTTTAATTTCTCTGAAGTAGAAATGATTTTAAATTCAACAACTTGATTGCTTGCAATTGTTTTTGTAGGTTGCTGCTTCTCAAGCATTTTAGTCAGGCAATTAAAGGTGATAGAAAATCATAATGACTTTATTCATTAGGCCATGAGAACTACTGTGTTCTTTCCCTACAATGACACCAGAAGGGCTGCCTTTACAGAACAGCTAGTAGATCGAACAGCTCCTCGCATTATAGGATATGAAATTCAATGGGAAGAAATCTTAGCTAATTAAAAGAGAAAAGAAGAGAAAGAAAAAGAAAAACAAAACCTATTAATCCAGGTGCCACATGCCCAATCTATTTGTGCACTAATCATCCCAGGTTTTCTCTTCAACTTTAATGGGTACTAGATGGGGTATCAGTGACCTTTGGTTGGTGGGCAAGAGCAGACTGCCCTCACTAAGTACTTGGCAGGGAGAGTGGAAAGACAGTGGTAAGAACATGGAATTTGAGTTTAATAAATCAGTGTATGAACTACTAACTAGCCTGCAGAGCAGTGAGTATGTTTCTGGCTTACAGTATAAAGGAACTAAATGAATTATCTCATTATGTGTTCCTACTACAGTCATAAGATATGATTATAACCATTTTCCAGATGAAAATGGGGCCAGTAAGCAAACTGTGGAAGGCAAAGTGACCAGGAAATGAGAAAAGCAGTATTTATAGCCAGGAGGTTTATAACTGCCACAGTTTTGCTAGTTCCTTCCTAGGCTTAGCCTCCTATGTTTATACTGTGAACTCCTAGTGGGCAGAAATGGGAATGAATATTCATTAACAGATCTTAAGCTATTTGAATGAATGAAGAAAATGTTTATGTGAATAAATGATTTACAGATCAGTTGACTACTTGTGGCTTAGTGTGTTTCTTTTCTTTATTTTCTGACTATGTTTCTAAACAATTTACTAATATTGAAGGTCCCCCACAAGTAAGATGGCAAACTTCCAGCTTCTCTTCGGGGTCCTCGGTTCCCGCCGGCGCCATCTGAAGCCCAATCACCTCTTGTTCCCCTCCCAATCCCAGCACCTAGCCAACAGCCACCAGCCCCGTAGAAGTGACACCTCAATCAATTCATGCCCCTTCCTATATAACCCAGCACCTTTCCCTAATAAAGCGGAACTCTCCGGTGAATTGCTGCTATGTGTCGCTCCTTTCCTTTCAT